GAGAGAGAGAGAGAGAGAGAGAGAGAGAGAGGTTTAAAAATACATTTATATAACTTATTACACAATTCTCCCGATTCTGAGTTTTAAAAAACAGTTTATTTTAAGATCAAAATTATTTTTTGAGCGAAAATTGTGTTTTATTTTGTGTTTCAATTTTAGGATTCAACTCATTATTGTTGCCACAAAATTTCATTTCTCGTCCAAACATTTAATTCTGTGCAAAAATAGTTATCGTTTTTTAAATCTAGAACTATTTATTTATTTATTTTTAAAATATAAATATCATTGAATTATAAATATATATATATTTAATACACAAATGGATTGTTTGATTGTTTTGAGTGATATTTAAATTAGTAATTATTTTTTTGTGCTAAATATTTTATTTTATTTTCAAAGATGTAATAATTGGCTATAAATATATCATAATTTTTTGTATTATTGAAAATTAAGTATTAAATTGTAATATATATTTTTGGCTCTCAATAGACATAACAATTAACTATAATTAAAATTATCCCAAAAATGTCAATTTAAAAAATTCAATATTCAATATATAAAGTTATTAAACAATTTAAATATATTATTAAACAATTTTTTTGTGCAATTTTTAAGTATATTTTTCTGTAATAATAATATATTTATATGTAATTTTCAATGTGAAGGCAGAAATTGTTTAGAAATTAATAATTTATAGTAATTTATATCTTAATTACAAATGTTTCACTAATTTTGAGGAATATTTAAATCTAATTATTATTCAAATCTTAGATAAAATGACAAAACACTTCATAAAAACAACAAACATGTAATAAATATCTCCAATAATTTAAATTTACAAATATTTAATATATGATTGAGTTGAATAAAAACAACCATGATCTAATGTCTATCTAAACGCATGTATATTGAATGCCAATGGCACTGGTTTTGGCAGTGGTTGACCACTTGAATAGTTAAACAACCGGGTTTGTGGTGGCAGGGGGTGGGGGCAGTACCCCCGGGCCTCCCATCTGTCCGTATAGATTGGTTCGCGTATTCATAATACAGTGATTTTCAGTCAGTATTATCTGGATTTTAACACAATTTGTTTCCACAATTACTGTACATTTATATATTTCTGGCACTAATATCTATATTAATGTAAAATTCACTTAATGTTTGTTTTAATATATTTTTCACTCTAATTCACTGATATATTGCAGACCACCCGTTATAATGAGCTCTTTATTACAAAATATATATTTAAATTTTTGTATTTATAAATATATATTTAGTTAACAAAAAAAACGGGCACAAAAATTGCCACATTTTTAGCATCATCATCAAACTTTATGTTCACTTATATTGTCATTAAATCATATAAAACAACAAAATTCTGTGACACAGAATAATATACATATATTATATTCTGGTAGTAATTTGTGTGTACGTGGTTTTGTAATCATAATTTAGCATGTTTATTTTGTAACATAGTTTTAAAGAGTTTTATTTTAACTTAAACTCATTTTTGCTTTTATTTCACACTCACTAACACTATCTCTCTTTCTCTCCCTATTAGCAGAAAAATTAAATATTAAATCAATATTTATATTAATATTTATTTATAATATTATATTTATAGATATAATTTGTGTTAATTTATTAAATTATAATAATTTGTGTGTAATTTGTGTTCAAAATATTGTAATAATTAATTGTATTTTCATATTTAGTCCGTAAATAATTGTGTGTTTCGTTTCAATTAATAATAATATCTAACGATATTATTTAACATATGATTTGATAGCATATGATGTAATGATAAATTGATGTTTTTATAAAAACGATCAAGGTTCCTTAATAATTAATTAATTAATTATTATATATATATTTATAATCTTATGTCAAATGTCTTTCATTGTAAGGCAGTTGTCGTGACGATAGTCATCGTGTATTGATTGGGATCGGGAGGCAAACCTGTTAGAGTGACCCCAGAGGTGGGACACAGACTAGTTTGTCGGTGTTGTTGCTGTTGCTGTTGTTGTTGGCCAACAACAGGGGCTCCAGAATTATGTTGTTGTCGTGGATGCGAATGAGTGGCCGCCGTCGAGGATGTGGTGGTCACCGACGCGGACGACGATCCGCCGCTGGATTGTGGCCTCTGTTGTGACTGATTATGACTGTCTCGGGCGGAGTGGCCGCCACTGGCGCTCCCGCGGGCCTCTCTCTTGATCTTCTGTTTGAGGTGAACCTTCGCGTGTCGTTTCTTCTCATCACTTCTGGCAAACTTACGGCCGCAGAGATCGCACGAAAAGGGTTTCTCTCCCGTATGGGTCCTGACATGAGTGGTCAGATGGTCTGAGCGGGAGAACGAGCGCATACAGATGCGGCACTGGAACGGCTTCTGGCCGGTGTGGATGCGGATGTGTCGCGTGAGTTCGTCCGACCGGGAGAACCGGCGATCGCACGACTCTATGGGACAGGCGTAGGGCCGCTCGTGGACCGGCGTCTTCGATGGTCGATTGGGGTACTTTCTCGCTTTGACCGGGATCAGTTTCAACGGTATCGGCGAGTTCTGGTACGCCTGCGACAGTATTTCGTGCCCTTTGCTCGTCGACTGGTTATACTCGGCGAGTGTGGCCGGGATTGTGCCCGAAGTGGACTGTTGTTGCTGTTGTTGGGGTTGAGTGGCATCGGATGGCGATATGCTGGCCGTAATCACGTACGCGTCCGACACAGACATCGGCTCCTGTTTGGGCACAATTGCGGTCAACTGTCCGCCGAATCCGCCATAGTCTACGGTAGAGGTCTGGAGGGCGGGTCCGGCGGTGGTGTACGTCGACCACTGGTATTGTTTCTGCGGCTGAAACTGTTGTTGTTGTTGTTGTTGTTGTGCGGACGCAGTGGTGGTCACGCACTGGGGGTTCAGACGGCCAAACAGGTCGTCGGCCATCGAGGACTGAGTCGATATGAGTGGCGTAACCAACGCGGCGACAGCCGTACCGACGACTGTCCCGCCATTGTCTTGAGGGCCGCCACACATGCCTGCGCTCTGACTCGTATAGATAGGCGGCGGACGCATAGAGAAACTGTCGCCAAATTGGGCGCCAAACAGGGCTTCGGCTGTGGAGAAGCCGATCTCCTGTCCGGACTCGTAATCGGTGGCCAAACCCGTGATAAGTTGCGGCGATGGCTGCGGCTGTTGGTCGCCGATAACCATGTGGTGCTGCGACTGTTGTTGCTGTTGGACCTGTTGTTGCTGTTGCGGCGCTGAAGTGCCCAATATATTAAGTAGTGGTGTATATATGGATGACTTCTCGGTGCAGAGCCACGACTGGACGGCCGACGGCTGCTGTTGTTGTTGCTGTTGTTGTTGTGCTGACTGTTGTGCGGACAGCGATGAGGTGGTAATGGTGTTGACTGTGGAGTAGATGCCGGAGCCGGTGGTCGGCTGTTGCGATGATGAGACCCGATATCTTTGTTGCTGTTGTTGCTGTTGGTGTCCAGTGGCCGCCCCAGAGCTCGGGTACATCACACTCCCACTGTCCACACCGCTGCCGCTTTTGTCTGGCTGGACGGGCCCGGCAGCCTCGGCTACATTAGATACAAATAAATATATACATGGTCAGTTTTCATACAGATTATGCTTGTTTAATAATTTCAATTTAATTTAGATTGTTATTTTTTATATTAAATGTCTGTGTAGAGAGTATTTTGCGATATTCAGCATGTGTTTAATACTTTGTAATTTTAGGTGTAATTTTTACTTGTTATTATGACCTAGGTGCAATGATTTGTTTGGCACGCATTGCAATAGCAATGTATTATAATATACTTATATGATATGACCCGGAATTTCATCCTCAATTCATATGTGATTTTATTGGCAATAAATTATTGATCGCTATATAAATGACAACTCAATTGACAGTCAAATTTGATAACAAAACTATATTTCAGTAAAGAGTGGAGTAATATGTGTTAGAAATAAATATATATTTTATTTGATTAGCGAAAGAATAGACACAATATTTTTTCTGATTACATGCCAAAAGTGCAATCTCTCTCTCTCTCTCTCTCTCTCTCTCTCTCTCTCTCTCAGATCACAAAATTTTTATCTCTCTCTCTCTCTCTCTTTCATGAACTTTGATTTTTCAAGATTATTATATAGACATACATAACAATAACAATAGACAAAAACTTTTCTTTAATAATATCCATATTAAACATAAAAGAAAATATATTTTCTTATAATAAAGTAATTGACAGTATTTTTGGTCAATTGTTAGAATAATGGTTTTAATTATAATAAGATTTATTAGAAAAATATCGATTGAATATAATTCAAGGCTTTTAATAACATATATATTAGACATTTATTACATTATATTTTATTGAGAGAGAGAGAGAGAGAGAGAGAGAGAGAGAGAGAGCATAGTGTAAGTGAACACAAAATTTGTTAAATAAAAAAGACTAAAAATAAAACTTTAAAGCAATTCATTTGTTGTTTATTTAACACATTCTATCTCTTTGTCACTGACTTTGTCTGCCTATCAGTCGATGTAGTGATAAGTATTGAGTTATTATAAGTGTTGAGAGAGAGAGAGAGAGAGAGAGATATGAAGAGTGAGACTAAAACTCAAATGATCTGTAAATAACAGAAAACAAATAAAAATTTCTTTATGTCTGTAATGAAAATATTCGCAGAAAATCGTCAAAAACACACAAATATTATTTGTATACACAAAGAGATGAAACACAGAAATTCAGTAATGATTTCAAAACAAGTATTATTTAAAATGATTTTTGCAAATATATTAATCATTTAATTTTTAAAATTTTAAGAAAATAATTCATATGAATCTCTCTCTCTCTCTCTCTCTCTCTCTCTCTGTATAGAAACACATTTATGTGTTTATGGGCTCACATTCCCAATAAATATGATTATTTGACTAAATTATATATACATATAATGAATGTAATCGTTGAATATTTCCAGTAATTCTTGCGCTTAATTTCAATGTTAGTCTCAAACTATCTATTTATGCATAAAATGTTGAAATTTCAACCAAATTCTTGACATTTAAAAAATATGTTTCAAACAGAAAATTCTTTCAACGATTAGTGATTATAAACAACTGTTTTTCACTCAAATTCTTTGTTTAGTTGTTTTTGTTTCTGTTTTTCTGAATGCGATATTCAATGCAAACTATTGTGTAATTATTTTTCAACACAACAAAAATTATTTGTGTGAAAGATATCTCTCATAACTATGTTATATAAATACGTCGGAGTGTCGAGAGATTGAGAGAGAGAGAGAGAGAGATGTGCTCCTAATTTATGTCAAACGGAGAGAATGGAAAGTATTTTTGACATTCAAACGACACATTTTATAATAATAAAGTAATAATAGATTTTAATTTTGGTAATTATTTATTAAAACATAAATATTATTAATCGTTGTTAAACTATTACTTTCGGTACTATTCTGTGCCCGTAATGTACGGCACAGCCAAACAAAACACGGTGTAAATTATGGTATCAAATGATTTTAGACGTCAAATAAATTTATTTATTATACTTTCAAATGAGAGAAATAGCGTTAAATGGATTTAAAAGCCGACAGTATTTGTCACTCGATAGCGAAATGGGCTTAAAATTAATTGTTGTCTAAACTGAAAATGTTTAAAATGCTGTATTATTTTGTTGTTGTTTTTTGTTGTGCTTTATTCTTAGGGCTAATTTTATTACACATTTATATTGGCAAATATTCCGTAGACTCTCTCTCTCTCTCTCTCTCTCTCTCTCTCTTCACTTATGATAGGCGTCTTGTGAGAGGGATATATCGGAGAGAAAGTGTAGAGAAAAGTATACAAAATAACTTTTTTAGTGGTAATTTTTTTCTTGCATTTTTCTACTATCCATCTCTTCGGGAGTTGACTGACGAGAGAGAGAGAGAGAGAGAGAGAGAGAGAGAGAGAGAGAGAGAGCATCTAAAATGTTGAAAATAGATTGAGGTCATAGGCATAGGCAACACAAGCAACTAATACCGAGTGCCTCTTATATAATACAACAGTAGTTACAAAAATAAAAAACAAAATTAAGTTTATATTTGCGAAAACACTCGGTAGTAATGATTTGCCACCAATAGTGAGAGTTAATAACATAACACACATATCTATACCTCAAGAATATAAATATATTACAGAATAATGCACTGATTGTAAGCCCTGTTCAGCGATAACTCATTCAAGAATTTCAATTTGAAATAAATATATTTCAAAACACATTTGCAGAGAGAAAAACATATCTAAATATAATTACAATAAATATATTTATAAATACTTCTCTAATCCAAAGAATTTGCTGAAAAACTTTCAAATCAACAAATCTATAGTCACTGACACTCACTCTCAGTATGTTTTCTTCAGTGCCTGTGAACTATAAATTTATATATAAATATAATGTCGATCCCTATGTGTGTGTATGTGCTCCTCAACATCCATGTGCTCTCTCTCTCTCTCTCTCTCTCTCTCTCTCTCTCTCTCTCCTCATTAAACACATAATCATTGAAAATATTGTATATTTTATTATTAATTACTCGCAAATTTTTACCATACTCTTAATCGTTAACATACTGTTTCTTAACACCACTTCTGTATCTAAATATAATTACGACCAAAAAATAATTACCATTATACTAAATAAATACATCTATATATTATTTGACTCCTGTTTTATATACATAATATACATATAATTATTATTTTATAATTATTTGTAATAATTGTTATTAAATGTTATAAAGAAGAAGAACTGATTGTGAAATTATTTGAAAAAAATAATTAAATAAAAATATTAATTGACAAAAATTGATTAATTGCTTAAATTTTTTGCTCATATAATAACATATAATTTGCACTAATATTTAGCACTAATTCCTAGAAAAATAATGCTTTTTGAATAATAATTCACTTTATTTTTTACATACTTTGCGTACAAATGATTTGAATTTCTGAATGAGAAACAAATTACTTGACAACTATTATTCATGTGGTCTATGTATTAAATAATAGATTCTTGTATATATATTATAGTAATAATATATATAATATACTGTAATATAAATATCTAAAATTGTGGTAAAATTGCGAAACTGGGTGATTTATTTTATCACAAAAATAATATGAATTTCAAAAACCCTTTATGTGGTAATCCCATAGACTTGTAATGTTATGGTTCATTGAAATACATATTCTGTTGAATTGTTTTCATTACACTTCTAGCGATGAATCCGTTTTGACAAAAACTATTTCCCCAATATACAGTTCAATGAATTATATAATTGTAAAGATGAGAAGAAAACGATACAGAATTTGCTTTACACCTACAGTATTATATCAATATAAAAGGATA